GTGAACAAAATGACTGAATGACAAATGCTGTCACATCAATGCCTTAAAATTCCTCAGTTTTCCACCAGAGGTCTCTCTGTCCATTACATCCATGCTGACAGCTTGTACAGGAAAATAAAAAAACGATATTACATGAGTTTTTGTCTGATCATGTTGGGGAATCATTAATGAGTGATTGTTATTATTCATGAACAATTAAGCAGCAATGGCACATATAGCACATTTCATTGACAACAAGTACTACAGTGTGATGTGTTGTTCATTTGAAGATAGTTGAACCCAAACCAATCTTACAGTTCTCCCCCTACCTCCTCTTTTCTGACTCATCTTTATTATTGATGCAGCCTACAATGGAACAGTCACAGGAGACCTTTTGTGGGTGGTGTGACCTAGTGGTTAACTCCCAGAAGGGGGAGTTTCATGAAAATGTTTCCTGATAATGTCAGGTTTCTCCATGTGAACAGCAACACTGTAAATCACTCTGGGCAAAAAAAATGTGTACTAAATTATTAGTCTGAACAGATAATGCAGTTCCCTGAGAGTAACCTTGTGTTGTTCACCACCATCCCTGACACAGTTACCAGCAGCGTCATGAGCTCATACCTTTCGGCAAATAAGCGTGTGGTCAGGAAGCACAGGAAGGTCATTAATTAAAGCTAAGTGGCCTCAATCAGGCTGCTACTAGTTTACATCATTTTATTTACGGGTGTTTCCTTGCAATGAAACTATGACTTTCTACTCTTCCCATGCACACTATCAAAAAATAATACACACAACACTATTTTTTCTTTGCCATAAATATATGGTATGCTTTAACACTGCCTCAAATGAACTTGCTTCAACATGTTAGGAGGATTTTAAGGGAAGGTGTCAGTTACATACAACACGACTTGAGAAAATAAGCCTTTCTTGGCATGTTTACCTTGTAAATTAGATCAATTCGCTCTTCAGAGAATGGATCAGATGGGTTTATTGCGAATATCTGTTGTTGTAAACTTTAGTCCAGTATATTGAAAATGTTAGTGAACTTGTGTCAGTGCTTTAGGGTTCATTTGGCACTTACCATATCCAAAAAATATATGATTATATAAATTATATCTATGGGTCTCAAAAAGTCGGTTAAAGGGTTAGTTCACTTTTAAAAAACAGTTTGCACTGAAACTGTCTTTTGGACCTTGAACCGTTTGGTGCCCATCAAAGTGCATTATATGGAGAAAAATCCTGGAATGTTTTCATCAAAAACCTTAATTTCTTTTCGACTGAAGAAAGAAAGACATGGACATCTTGGATGACATGGGGGTGAGTAAATTATCAGCAAAAGTTTTTTTAAAAGTGAACTAATCTTTTAATTGGTGTACTGTGCAGAAATGCTTCTGAACCAGGATTGACCCATAATTCAGCTTCACAAAGATCATTAGCTATGTTTCCATCCAAAGTTGCGAATTTAGCTTATGTGCAAAATTGTAATATCGCATAAAACATTTAAGAATAAAGCACCGTTTCCATCCCATGTGTTCAAGAGAACAAAATCAATGGGCTGGGCTGGGCTGTGTTTGGACGGCTATTAGACGTCTTTTAAACGCAAAATTGCTTGCTGGGGGGAGGGAATTAAACCAAATTATTCTGATGACAGAGTTTGGCTCAGGCATTTCTTGTCATCTGTCGTTATCTTATCATAGCAGCGAGTGATGGGCGATATTGCAAATTTCTGTAACGATCCGATACCAAGTAAATACAGGGCCAGTATCGTCGATATCGATACCGATACTTTTTAATTTTAAAAGCATACATTTGAACTTGTATGCACTTTCCTGTGCTAGAGCAGTGTGTCATGATTTATGAGGTGAATGCATCATTAATATGCTAAATCTGAACACGTTTTCATGACTACTAGTCCTATTTTGTGATTTGTGCTCTCAACTCCCCTTTAATTAGTCAGTGACTTTTACAAAACTACCCTAATTATAGTACTAGCCTACTAGTACTAGCCTACTGTTCAAAAGTTTGGGGTCTGTAAGATTTTTATTTCTCTTAGTAAAAACTGTAATATTACAATTTAACAATTTAACATAGGCCATCTGTTTTCTATGCCATAGTAAACTGTAATTTATTCATGTGATCAAGGCTGAATTTTCGGCATCATTACTCCAGTCATGATGATAATTCATTTTAATATGCTGATTTGCTGCTCAGGAAACATTTCTTATTATTATCAATGTTGAAAACAGTTTCATATTTTGTCGGAAACTATGAAACATTTTATGCAGAATTATTTGATGAACAAAGTTGAAAGAACAGCATTTATATGAAGTAGATTTTTTTTAACAGTGTAAACCCCTTGACTGTCACTTTTGATCAATTTAATGCATCGATCCTTGTAGAATAAAAATATTTATTTCATAAAAAAGATCTTACTGACTTCAACATTTTAAATCGTTATGTACAGTTTTGGTTTGTTTATTGCGAAATAACTCCCGATTGTTTCTCTGTCATCTAAGCAAGGCTTCGTTTCCCAAACGCACTGGGCCTGTGAGCTCAGCGAAGCACCAGCATCGAACGCTCTCTGTGATTGATTGGTTTCGTCTTGTATACAGATGACTAGGAGAAAAGGTTCTATCCTACACAATTACCCGCTAACATTCGCTTATTTTTCACACTGAATTGCGTGCAAAATTAATAAAAAATTACTGGTAAAAAAAATACACATTTGGATCGATATTTTTATGTGAGGATCGATCCTTTTCGATACCACGTCAGTATCGAAGTATCGATACTTTAGGATCGATCCGCCCATCACTAGCGCGCATACTAATGAGACATTTGATCAAGAGGCAGGCAGTCCTGACCAACAGCGAAAATAACGTTTTCTCACAGAAAACAGAAAATCACGAAAAAAATTAACGCGATTATGTGGTTTTTCAGTTTAAACCATCTGCACTGTGATTTGCTGGATTATCAGGTGGCGATATAATATCAAACCAGTTTGAAAATATCACAGCATCTGTAACTGCTCGGGACAGGCTCAGATCACGTCGCTGACCTGCTCATAAACAAGCATCGCCGTCCACAACAAGCACCGATTTTGCCGCGATCCAGGGTTTTTGTCGCAGACCTTAGAAATCTGTCTGCAACATCAAAATCCAGCCAAAAGTCGTGTAGTGTGAGCTTGCCTTTATGCCTGGTACACGTTGTACGATTGTGGCCTGTCCCAGACTAAAGATGACCAATTGTGGCGATTTCTGTGGTTGTGGCTCCTAAAAATCGTACAGTGAGAGAGCTTCAAAGATGGCCGTTGTCACGGTCTTGTGACCAAAGATAGCCTGCGATAATTTTCTGATAGTGTCATAAATTTAGCCTGATCATCTCACAGTATGTTTGCTGCTACGACCTACGTCTACTGACTAGCCAATAAAAATGCAACATGAAATTGCGTCTTGATCAACGCGACATGGCGCTAAAACTCAAAATGACTTACCTCAAGCTTCATTTGCAAAATTGGCCTCTTTTCCCTAGCCACGACCGCGTCCATATTCTAGTCTTTCGCTTCCTCCTCTTTTTTTCAGCGCACATAAAAAACACAATTTCCAAAATGCGATTCATCTTGCTGTATTTGTTTACCACTAGCGCATGCTGATGACGTTTTATTCTTCAACTAACTTGCGTCGTAGCTTACGATTCAATAGGTGTCATCATACAGTCTACATACATGTCGTACCCAAGTTTATTAGATCCATGTCGTACAGTGTAATTTGTAATGATCTTATAGGATTGCAGAAATCGTCTGTAGCAGGCATTAGTTCAGTTATGCAATCACATCCTCTGTTAAGGCAAATTCATGTGTGTTTTTTGTTGCACATCGAGAGATTTCTACTGTAAATGTGTTTCCATCGTAGTTCATGCGCACTATCGTATAAAAAATGTGTCCTCAATTAAGGTCATAGGTTTTTTAGACCCCTTGAAACAATGATCTCCTTAAATCAATTATTACAAGTTGTGATCATAATGATTACAATATATAGAAAATTTGGCAGTGGTGCATGTTGATTCAGAGTTGGCGTCATCTAAAGTCCTCGGAGGGGTTGGCGTCATCTCCTCACAGGTGTTAGGTCATCTAAACCGTCGTAAGAGGCTGGGAATCCAAACTGGAGCTGGATGGGCATCTCGAGGTAGAGACAGAAAAGCAAATGGAAAATAATTAGCATAGCTGCTGTTCATAACATTTCAACCAAAAACATCTGATGTAACTGGAGTACAAGGTTATGCGGTACATTATGCAAATGCTTGGCTAAAGAGATGCGTCTTTAATCTAGATTTAAACTGGGAGAGTGAGTCTGAGCCCCGGACATTATCAGGAAGGCTATTCCAGAGTTTAGGAGCCAAAGGCAAAAACGCGGTCATTATTGTTTTCTATTGCATTTGACTCTCCCCAGAGTTGGGAAATGCAAGACATCCTATAAGATCAAATATAAAATCAACATTTTCATGAAAACCTCAACATTAAATCATCACAACTTTCCTCACTTTCCTTCTTCCGTTGCTCTCTGTGTCACCTGTGACGTCTGCTCCACGGATTCACCTGCTCTAATTCCTTAACGGGATTGCCGATTCCCCGGATATCCACTTAGAACCTGATTAGGCGAGCTCAACTCATTAGCTCTGACAAACCAATTCAAACCCCTCAACCCCAAAGCCAAAGCACAGACCCCCTTCCATTAAGTGTTCACCAAACCATTGACCCTTTTAGAAATTACACATCAAGTGTCAAACTTGCTCAAATGTGATAAAACTAGTGTGAAATGCTTTGAATATGATGTTAAAGCCCATATTACTCAAAAATGATAGGTGGTAGAAACAACACTGAGAACGTTATGATAGTTGCAAGATGTTCTTCAGGAATCAACCATATTTTGGTTCATGCCACACACGATCCATCCCTTCCTCTGTCCTCTGCTTTCTGCACTCACTCTTGCGTCGTCTTTCGACCCCATAACCTGATTTTCCATTCCAATCGGTTTACCTGTTCCTTGCCCTCCCCTTTACTTCTCTCTTTCTCTCTCCCTTACCCTTTCTCTGCTCATCTTTGGGCTTATCCTTTCATCCCTGATCTCCTTCATCCCCTCCAATCCTCATCTGTTCCTCTCTTGCAGAAGGGGAAGAGAAAGAGAGAGTTTTTCCACAGGTAAGTTGCATCCAGTCTGTTGGAGGAACCTGTGGAGAGAAAGACGATTGAAGAGCTGTCTTGTGGACTAAGCAAAATAGAGACTGATACAGAGAGAGAGGCTTTGGAGTTATTGAGGAGAAAGGGAAGAAGCTTTTTTTGGGGGGTAGACAGGTGAGTTTGTTTTCAGTTTGGTCGTTCATTAGCGTGTGTAAGAAAATTGTATATAGCGAACAAAATACAAACCTTGTGCATTGCGATAAACTTGAAGTCATATGCCTAAAATGCTGTTTTTTATTTGGCATGAATGCAGAATGCACGGAAATGCTTTGCTTTATCTGTGAACGTTCATGCATTTTGCACACATACTACAGATTAAAACCCTGCATTGTAAGAAAATGATACTGATTTCCTGGAAGTAGTCCTCAGAACACGCTATCACGAAAGGTTAATCTGCAACTTTTATAACACATAAAATGACATTGGGATGTTAATGTTGGTATTTCAACCATCACAAATGCATCCAGCACTTTCAGGAGGTTGTAGCAAAGTTTGTTAGCTAATGCATTCCTGTGGTTTTTCATTTCTAAACGGATCATAATGTCGTCGCAACTTGCAAAGTTTGCACATTTGTCTCTTTGTAGGATTAACCTAATGCTGAAGCTGCTCTTGAGTAATCAAATACACCTTAGAAACCTTGAGATTTCAGAGTGTCAGGTCTCACTTCATCTTGATGAACTTTCTTACGTGTACACATACAAATCCCAAAGTCTTTTCTTGCCCCTTTCCTTGCGTTTTGTCTTTGATCTCCCTACCTCGGGTCCCACCTGATCCCGTAGTAAAGAGCAGTCGGTAATCGGATGACAGGAGATTTGATAAGCCACCCCCAACAGCTCCTGCAAAGGCTTAAACCTTTCTTCTAGCCTTGACATCAATAAAACAACAGCTCTCAGCAAGAGCTGAACAGACACCAGTAATCTTGTAACTATTATAACATATCATAATTTGATCATTGGCAGCGCAATGCAAGACACAATTCTGCAGATCACAGTTCCTACAGAGCAGTAGGCTCTACTTCTTAACCGTGAATTAAGTTCATTAGGATCTCCGTAGTAGAACAAGGCTGATAATTCCTCGTCATCTCTTCTGGCCTCCCACTGAGAGGTAAATTCATATGGCGGTAGACTAGCAACCAAATATTTTTATAGTAAGTTGCAACTTAGGTTGATGTACATCTGCATGAAACATTTGCAATATTTTATTTTAGGCAGCATTACAGATCTTGATTAGACTTAGACATTTAAAATCTAGACATTCTCATTGGTCAGGTGCAGACTTACTAAGTCAATGACAAGCCTCAAGATATGTTTATGGGTAATATTAGATGTGACAATATTTTTTGTTGTTGTTGTTGCTTTGTTTCATAAATTGCATAATATAAATTGATTTGGAAGTTTGCTTGAGTTTGCTTTCACTTTGTTGCTAATCTTTTTACTTAAATTTTTGAAAATCAACATTTGAATTTGCAATTGGAATTGGAACAGATTCTCAGTATCTATGACAGTAAAAGTTGAAATACCCAACAGCACTGTTATTTATGTAACGCTTAGCATTTAGCTAACATTACTGAACATTCAATTGGATTTGGCTTATCTAACTGCCTAGAGTTTCTAAATGACAGACCATATTGTTGTTCCACAACTTTTGCAAATCTGTATTCAATACTAAGCAGGACGAACTTTTTGAGATATTACATGAAAAGTTCAGTCTTAATTGGTCTCCAGTGAGATATTGGCTGAAAGGTTTTGTATGAAATCGATATCCGTCAGTACTAGGTCAAATCATACATCTTCAATATGATTAAAATGGCTTCCACATGCATGCCTGATGACGTAATAGTCACATACAGGGCCTAGTTCAGATTAATCCAGTCATTTTATTGATTTATTTACTTCTACTTGATTACATATAAGAGCATTTTAAGTAGAATTTTTATTTTCTGCTTGCTTCTAGCTTGTGTTGGTAAGCACCCCGATCAACAGCAGCTATGGGTGAAATGGAGCAGATGAAAAAGGAGGCCGAAGGCCTGAAGACACAGATCGAGGTGAGACTATATGAGACTAATGCAAGCTGTTTAAACAATTAATAATGAAATACTAACATTACATGTTTGTTCCCCTTCTAGGCGGCTCGCAAAGCAGTCAATGACACAGACATGGCCGCGGCCGCTGCTGGGGTGGCCCCGGCCCCTCGGGTCCAACTCAAGACCAGGAGGACCCTCAAAGGCCACCTGGCCAAAATCTACGCCATGCATTGGTGTACAGACAACAGGTGAGAACATTATTATGGGTCAAATCAAAGGATGAAATGAGATACGATGGGCTATACTGCACAGTAGAAGTATTCATTCATTTTTATCGTTTTGGCCTCCAAAAGTACATTACAGGAATAAAAAAAAAAGATCTGACAGAATGTGAAATATATTAGTTTTAGTTGTTGCCCTTGCTTGTCACATGATCTGCTCAACCAGGTTTATAGCTCTCACATGGAATTCAACTGCATCTCGTGGTCACCTTGAATTAGCTAATTCTTAGTTAGATCAATTATCAGGGTCAGTGACCCGAAACAGACTTAAGCCTCAGTGTTTTCAAGAAGGGACTTAACCATGTATATTAAACTGCAGTGACAGCAGAATCATATTTTATCATTAAATCAGTATGTTTGTGAGATTTCAAAATTAAAATAAATGAATAAATACAATGAGGGATGGAGTATATATGAACAATATCCTTTGATCCTGTAGTCTTACCAGCCTTTCTTTGCTCTTTCTTTCATTGGTGTCTTTAGGCTAATGGTCAGTGCATCACAGGATGGCAAACTCCTTATCTGGGATTCTCACTCTGGAAATAAGGTGAGTCTGACTTACTCAAATACACTTTCAAGAGAAGATGGGGAATCATAAATATATTTAAGCTGTATATACCAGCAAACGATCTCTAAATATTTTGGGCTGTACATCATAATGTTGCCATGTTGTTCTCAGCTTAATTAATGAATGGCACATATTTTAAGCTTCTTGAAGGGGCCATTTTATATTTTTAAATATCTCTCCAACTTCTAATAATACACAGGTATTGTAACCATGACAGTTTTCAACCGTTTAAAAAATTGCCATGCGTTTGGCTGTTCATTTACACAACAATGACGATTTGGGGCCTGAAAATGCAAACTTTTGACATTGGGTTTTAAAGTGCAACTTGTCTCCGTGTAAACTATAAAAATGTGAATTTGTGAAGACAGTGACGTCATGCACATGCATATTATGTATTCAGTCTATAGGCAAATAGAGTTTCTTTACAAAGTGGCATCGCCAACTACTGGCCTGGCATGAATAATACAGCGCTTTTAGACGTTTTTGCAGATCCGTGTGAACGGGATCGTTTTGACAACATTGTCGTCTGTACACAAAACTTTTCAAAAACGCAAAGGAAAAGCTTATTCCATTTTAAGGAAATTGTTTTCTGTAAACAAACCCTAGTCAACTTTACACATAAATAAAAATATCCAGTTGGACAAAGATATTTTATTTAAAGGTGCAATTAAAGTTTGCTATTTTTTGTTGTGAAAATACTTTCTCCTATTTAGCTTATGTGCTCATGTGATTTTTGCGTATAGTGTGGTTTCGGTTGTACTAAAATTTGTTTAAATTAAAGTACAAAAGTTAATGACGAATCATGACATTTGTCATGAATGAATCGTGAATGTGGCTTTAAGAATATTACATTTTTTTTAACAGTTTCTGGCAGGACAGGATCTGTTTAAGTAACAAAACCTGGAAAACATATTTGAGAATAGTGATTATTTTGCAATTACATTTGAATACGTTGAATACGTTCAAGGAAAAGATTGAATATTTACCTCTTGCTTTAGGTCAATGCTGTTCCCCTCAAATCCTCATGGGTGATGACCTGTGCATATGCTCCTTCTGGAAACCTTGTGGCCAGCGGTGGTCTCGACAACATGTGTACTGTCTACAACTTGAAGACACCCGTAATCAAGACCGTGAAAGAATTGGATGCTCACACAGGTAAAGTATATAAGTCATTCGAGAATCTTTATTCTTTCATGTGTATGTTATGTAATTGTGTCTCTCTCTATTTTTTATAGGTTACTTGTCCTGTTGCCGCTTCCTCAGTGACACTGAGATTCTCACCGCCTCTGGGGATACCACATGGTTTGTGCATGCATGTAACTTTTACATTTAAGAACATAGTTCACCCAAATATAAAAATTAATTTGATACAATTTTTGTATGAGTATTGAGTGCCTTGTTTTTTTTTAAAGGGGCTATATGTAGAATTCAGAAACCCTTGTTATTAGCGACACCAGTGGCCGTTAAGTGAATTGCAGCCAGCAACTTATTGCTTGCGCTCACACCTGGCACACGTAACGTATAGGAGGCTGAGCGTGATTCAATGAACCGATACTCACAGCAAAGTTCTTTTTCGCTCTTTGCTTAGAAGTAAAAAGAAGTTGGAAATACCTTTATAGTGAGTGATATACTGATATAAACGAACATCCAGACGCCGTCCATGCTGTTGTCGTCTGGCTTCCATTTATTTAAAGAGGCTGTATGTAAGAATTTTCATGTATTAATCTAGCCTGGTTAAAATCAGACCATTCTCAGTTGTAACTGAGTTATGGTCTGGCAAAGCGTCATAGACAAATCATTTCCAGAGGGGCGTCACCAACGGAGTCGCGGATAGACCTAAACCCAATCAGAGCGATGAAGGAGATGACGTATGCAGAGCGGCGGAGATTGATTTTTCTTTGCTCGGTTTTTAACAAAAATGACACGTTCAAATCGCTTAAAACAGACGCGATAGCTGATTCGAATGAGTGATGTTCGACGGCTAAATCCATCTTTGTAATGTAGGCTACAAAATCATGTTCAAAATCCCAGCGCTGTCGTCATCGTGTAAAGCCCGCCCCAACGTTTCTGATTGGTGCCTCGATTTCGGCGGATGGCGGATTGGAAATGAGCTTGAATGAGCTCTTTGCCAGACTAACTTTCAGAGCAAATCTAAATTTGCCGGAAGTTGTCTGGGTTTTCCCAGGCTAGTATTAATCGCTTTTTATTGACAATGTGTGAACAGCTTGAAACAAAACTTAAAGGGATAGTTCACCTAAAAATTAAAATTACCCCATGATTTACTCACCCTGAAGCCATCCTAGGTGTATATGACTTTCTTCTTTCAGACGAATACAATCGGAGTTATATTAAAAAATGTCCTGGCTCTTCCAAGCTTTATAATGGCAGTCCATTAAAAGTCCATAAAAGTGAATCCATCCATGATAAAAGTGCTCCACACGGCTACGGGGGGTTAATAAAGGCCTTCTGAAGTGTAAGTTTGTGTAAGAAAAATAACTAGCTTCCGGCAGACGGCCAACCCAAGTCGACTTACGCCTAGAGTAACCCTTGACAATGTATGACGTAGGATGTAGGAGTAGCGTAAGCTACAAACAGGGCTGGGCAACAAACTCAAGCTCCTCTGACATTTCTCTTTCAAAATTCTCGTTTTAGACTTCTAATTCGTGACTGGTGTTTTGTTTTGCTCTATCCTCTGAGCTTCTGCGTTCGTCATTACGGTGTGCGTCATGTCAAGTGTTACACTTCCGCCGTAAATCGATGCGTACGGCTGTCTGCCGGAAGCTAGTTATTTTAGTCGATAAAGTTTTAAATATGGATATTTTTCTTACACGAACACATCGCTTGGCTTCAGAAGGCCTTTATTAACCCCCGCAGAGCCGTGTGGAGCACTTTTATCACGGATAGATGCACTTTTATGGACTTCACAACAGAAACGGCCATTCACTGCCATTATAAAGCTTGGAAGAGCCAGGACATTTTTAAATATAACTCCGATTGTATTCGTCTGAAAGAAGAAAGTCATATACACCTAGGATGGCTTGAGGGTGAGTAGCCTACATATTTGGGTGAACTATCCCTTTAAAAAACGAGGCCTTCCCAGATTTCCTAGGTTACCTATGAAAGCCTGTAGTGTAGACTGATTTTCATGTGAAGGACTCGGGACGTTTTTGCCGGGAAAATCAAAAGGATGCGTTGTTCACGCTCTCCCCCGAGAACCTCTCTTCCGTTCTATAACACATTATCTGGCTAAACTGCCAAATATTAAGACATTTACACAAAACTGAATTGAAATTAAAAAATAACTTGATGCTACTTGCATGCAAATTGAAGGTCATGTTATTTTTAAAAGCAGTACGTAGTATAATTTGCTGCAACCTTCATTTAGCCAAGCAATTGATAAACATATCCATAAAAAAAAAAAACCTATAAAAAAGTGAAATGGTGCCGTTCTCATCTCACAAAATTTTACGCTGTATGTATAAGAAGCAGTGCCATTTTTGCTCATAATTACAGTTAGGGCTTTTTCAAAATGCTATAGACATTTTTGCAGCTTTTTACTTTACAAAGATGGGAAAAAAATTCCATAAACTTATAATATGTACTCCCAATGATATCTCCAGACCAGAATGTCATAGCAACCGCCTAGCGACCAACCAGAAAGCCCACTCACGTCTTTGAAAATATAATAAGCTTTTGTTTCGTTTCTATTATTATTATTCATTTTATCCCGTTTCACCCCCCCCCCCCAGTGCACTGTGGGATTTGGAGACTGGAAAGCAGACAACAGTTTTCCTGAGCCATGTTGGTGACTGCATGTGTCTGGCTCTGTCCCCGGACAACAAGAGCTTCATTTCTGGTGCTTGCGACTCTCTGGCCAAGCTGTGGGACATCAGGGATGGCCAGTGCAAGCAAACCTTCCAGGGTCACACGAGTGACATCAATGCCATTTCTGTGAGTTTAAGGGAAATGTTTGATGCACTACCAAGAAAATACAGAAAAGGGCATCAGTTATTTTTTAGCCAGTAATTTCTTTCTTCGTTGATGATGCTAACCTTCTACCAGTTTCAAAGATTTGAGTTTTTCCAATTGATATAAGAGAAAAGCACATAAATGGATTCACCAAACTGTGTCTACCTCTTCAGTTCCTCCCCAGTGGCACCGCAATTGTCACAGGCTCGGATGACTGCACATGCAAGATGTATGATCTTCGCGCTGATCAAGAAGTGATTTGCTACCAGGATGCCGCCCTGAACAGCGGCGTTACATCACTGGCTCTGTCCATGTCTGGCCGCCTCGTCTTTGCTGGCTATGATGACTTCAACTGCAATATTTGGGACTCGCTAAAGGGCGAGAAAGTGGGTAAGTTTAAAGAAAGGAGAAGCGGATGGAGTGAATGCTGATTAATTAAGCAGTTAAGTCCCTTTGAAACAAGTCAAATCAAACTCCATCAAGCTGTTATTTTCCATGTAGGAAATTCAGGGATGTGATATTGCATTAGTGTTAAGTAAGGGATAATGTACATCCAGCCAGTTGTTCTCTCAAAATAACCCCCGACAGGGTGAATGAGGACCCTGACGTGAAGCGGAGGGGTCTTCTTGATCAGCCTGAAGGGGGTTTATTTTGAGAGAACCACCGGCTGGATGTACATTATCCCGCTTATTACACGGCTACTTGCCACATAAGTAAATAATTAGACACGAAATATTGATCTGAGTTGAAATATTTTATGAGCTCTTTAAACGCAAAGCTTCCGCGGAGAGAGCAGTTGCTAGCGCGGCAAGTTCAAACTAGACGGACATTTAAGAGATACGGTATCATATCACTTATTACAGAGCATTTCGCCGCATAAATAATTATGGAGATAAGAGATATTGATTTCAGATCAAACTGTTTTAAAATCATACCTGTTTGAATGTTATAATCCAACAACAGTCACAAAATGGCAGCAGCTGCGTTTGTATGAAACGAGAGAGCGAGTCCACGATACTGGATGGCATAATTAAATAACTGTATACAAAATATTGAGTTTTAATATTCTATTAGCTCACCAAATGCAAAACTTCCACGAAGAAAAAACGTTCCTAGCAGCCATATAGCACTGGTGACTTCAGTGACCCGGATGAGCCTGCGTTATCTGTTTTGAGTGGTTGTTATCTGGGAATAACTTACCGCTGGATGGCGCTATTGACCAATCAGAATCAAGCATTCCACAGAGCCGTGTAATAAGGTCCCGATATACTCACAGCAAAGCTCTTTTTCATTCTTAGCTTCCGTAAAAAGAAGTTTGAAATACCTTTGCAGCTGTATACTTTTAGCAACTCCACATATGGTGCTGAGAGTGACGTTTAGGTAAATATGGAAATATGTGCTGTACTTTCCTCTCAGAAACCAAATTAACACAAAACAAAAATGACAGTGGTGAGAAAACAGCGGTTAAGAAAGCATCTGATATTTTTTTTTGAGTGTTTGCTCATCTTCAATACGTCTCTAGGACGTTTCCTGTCAGATGTCATATAGACATAGCCTGGTTAAAATCAGACCATTCTCAGTTGTAACTGAGTTATGGTCTGGCAAAGCGTCATAGACAAATCATTTCCAGAGGGGCGTCACCAACGGACGTCGCGGATAGACCTAAACCCAATCAGAGCGATGAAGGAGATGACGTATGCAGAGCGGCGGAGAAACATCTCCGAGTGTTGTTCTTTGCTCGGTTTTTAACTAAAAGGAAACGTTCAAATCACTTAAAACAGACGCGATAGCTGATTCGAACGAGTGATGTTCGACGGCAGCGTCCATCTTTGTAATGTAGGCTACAAAATCTGCTTCAAAATCATGTTCAAAATCCCAGCGCTGTCGTCATCGTGTAAAGCCCGCCCCAACGTTTCTGATTGGTGCCGCGATTTTGGCGGATTTGAAATGAGCTTGAATGAGCTCTTTGCCAGACTAACTTTCAGAGCAAATCTCAAATCCAAAAATGAAAATTCTGTCATCATTTACTCACCCTCAAGCTGTTCCAAACCTGTATGAGTTTCTTTCTTCTGCTGAACACAAAGGAAGATATTTTGAAGAACGATTGGAACTTTGGCACCATTGACTTCCATAGTCTTTTTTTTTTTTTCTACTATGGAAGTCAATGGAGCCAAACAACCGTTTGGTTCCAATCGTTCTTCAAAATATCTTCCTTTGTGTTCAGCAGAAGAAAGAAACTCATACAGGTTTGCAACAACTTGAGGGTGAGTAAATGATGACAGAATTTTCATTTTGGGTGGAGTATCCCTTTAAGATGTTTAAGATTTAGAATGTATGTAAAACTGCTTTTTCTAAGACGTTTACTAGATGTTTTTACACAGCAGATGCTTTCCAGATGAACAGATCTTTAGAAAGACATGTTACAGACGTAGCTGTGCTATCTGCTACTGTAATCGCCACAGACCAATAATAGTTCAAAGGTGTTTACCAGCCGGAGTGAACATTTTCAGACATTTCGCTCTGGCAAGCTGTTTCGAACACCTGAAACAAACTCCAAAAAATGTTGTCCTGATTTTGTTCTAAATGACACACCAGATCGTTCTTCAATTTCGCTCGAAGTTGGCTATATCGGGGCTTTAAGTCGAGGAAGTCTTCTATAAAGTCGGCATGAAATGAAAATTCACCCCATCTATTTTTATATTATAGATTTTATTGTTAACAATTCATCCATACATAGCTATGTTAATTATAAAAAAATTTTACCTCATAATGTCATAACTGCATCTTCCGGAATAATTTAGTGCGCTTAAACCCTGATGCTAAAAGCTCATGTTCGTCTGCCTCCACTTTTGAGTCTTTTTTCTGCTTCCACAACAACCAATGCATAAAACCAAGTCCCCAACCTACATTTTTTCTTTTCGGATAATCCGTTACACTTTATTTTTGATTTGTTGCAACTTGCTACTTCCGTTTCATTGCATCTTTGAATAAATAAGCATGCATGAAGAACAAAGTCCTATCAAATTCATTTTCTCACTTCCTTTCTTCCTTTCTCTCTTGTAGGCGTGTTGTCTGGCCATGACAACAGGGTGAGCTGCACCGGAGTACCACCAGATGGCATGTGTGTTTGCACTGGCTCATGGGACAGCTTCTTGAAGATTTGGAACTGAACTGGACCCTGAAACAAGACGAGAAGAGGATAAGACAGAAAGGATGAGTAAAGGTTGAGAGAGAGGATGAGAAATGAGAAATTCTAAGCAACAAAAAATCTCTCTCACACACACAAACAAACACACGAATGTCACATCTGTATACGTGTGGGATTTCTGGAAGACTGGATTTTATTAGAATATTTACATGGAATATTTAATTGTAAAAATGTAAGTTACAACGAACACAGGAATGCCGTTGGCGTTATTGTTAAAATGACAATCTCATCATGACAGCAATACTTTGACTTGAAATTATAATGTTTGACATCTTAAAAATGAATAATCATTCAAGAATAAAATATATAGTTTTTGTCTGTTAAAAATCCTCATCATTAGGTGAAAGTTTCCATGACTATTTTTATGTATTAGAAATGATGATAGAATGCAGAAGAAAATGTACAGTGACTTTTCCCAACAACCCCACTGCCTGTCTGAGATCTGATGGCTCTTTGATGCTGTTGGCAACTTTAACCCGGCATACAGTTGCGTTTTCATTTCTAACAAACTTCCCGAAGTCCAAATGGCACATTATGCTAAAAGAGAAAATGTCTGTATTTACTTCTTTCATCTTTTTGTAGGGCTTTTACATACAAGACAGTTCCTCTTAAATGTTGCAGTGATTACTCGAATTCCTTTCTAATAAACATAGTATTCTGCATTAAACGATATTTTGGTGTGTGCTATTTGTGTCTGTCAAGCTGTTATGTCCAATAAAATACGTGTTTTAGGATTTTAGGGCATTTGAAGTAATTGATATAAAAACAATGTTGATCTTGGCATCATTACTGTGTAAAATACATTTAAACTACTTTATTGTGAAAACTTTGCACTGGGTAAACTTTGTACTTGTTAAAGAATAGGTGACAGAAAGAAATATTATTGGAAAGGAAATATAACTAGGCCATAAAACTATGTTTTAAAAAAACGTTTAATAGCAGGATAAAGTTCATAATAGGAAAAAAGAAAGATATCTGAGGCTACATTGTAGGAAAAAAAAAAAAAAAAAAAATTCAGCCCAGGAGAATTGATTGTTTAGTTATCCAGGTCAGAATTTGTTTATTGGCAATTTCTGTCATGACAACTCTTGGAGAGTTTTGCATGGTAATGAATGAGTATGACAATGTCAATGTGTTTGGTTTTGGTGGAATAGATCTATACGCTGCTTTTGCTGCAGAGCAAATCTGGAACTTGTCACATTCACGACACACTGCTGTGAGCAAGTAAGACATGCTGCTGCTGCACAAGCATACATCAATCAGCCCCGTAGCAGATCTATACAGGTGGAGCTGGGGAAGATGAAGGGAAAGCATGCTGTAAACTGTGTTATTCTGCCAATACAATGGGAACCAATCAGCTGTGCCCTATAGAGAATGATGTAATTGCAAGCAGATTGGGTTAAGGACTGATGAGCCTGTGCCATCTAGAGTTTCATGACATAACTTTGTATTATAGGCTTTCACTTCTATAATGAGGTCACAACCTCAGTAAACCTAATTCCTTTAAGTATATTTTATCACCTACTGCAATCTCACCTTGATAAAGTAGATCAGACAGTTGTTGTTTTTCTTTCACTTCAAGAAGGAGTACGTGAGGCTTACTCTAATCCACTTTCAATAGAGCTTTGCCCAGAGAAACATTAGCAAGCACTGAAGCACAGAAGACTAATTGACTAAAGTTGAAGTCAATGGTGCATGGCTGAGATGACCAAGCTTTGGCTGCGAAATGAGAAAGAAGACATGATATAATATGACGTAATATTTTTATTCAAAAGCAGTTTTGGAACAATACTCATTGTAAGAAAAAGCACATATGCTGGCAACAGCATTCGGAAGGGCATTAAAACTCCTTACATTGTACGAAATATAATTAAAAATAATTCATATTAAAAATAATTACACAGAATGAACTTCATATCTAAAGCTGTATGATGTAAAGAGACATTAAAAAATTAGACAAAAAAATAAATGAAGGCCATGAAAATGGCATTGACCATGTGAACTCTTTTAGATTAGTTTCTTAAAATCAAGTACAAGATGCTCTTCGGAACATCCCAAAACCATCCTGAATAAAATAGATAATGTAACTTGAATTGAGGAAAAAGTACCGACTTAAAAAAATTGCAAAATAGATGCAATTTCATTAGTGATCTCATACTTTTGTTCCCCACTGTAAATACAAATATATACTTTGTAAATCCATTGAGCTCTTCTATGCAGCCTATGGTTAAAAAGATTTTAGGAAATTTGACTGATTAGTATTCCTAAGGTTTACCTTGTGAATAATAATTATTATTATTATTAAATATCTATGCTTACGTTCCATGAGCACGATTGCTTTTCATGGCGAGGGAGATGTGCGTCACCTCATGTATATGAATTAGGTTATTGTAACGTTTCTTGCGACCTTCCAATGACAAAGGACCACCTCCTGAATATTAACGACCAAACCTTTTTCATAGTAGGATTCGTAAATTCGCTTACGGGAGTGATAATACCGCAGTAGGTGTGTTTGGTCCGTTTGGTTTGTCCCGCAATAATGTCCTCAAGAAAATTCTTCGTCGGGGGAAACTGGAAAATGAACGGCGATAAAGAGACTCTGGGCGACCTCATAATGACCTTGAACACGGCCAGTCTCAACGATGAAGCAGGTCCATGGCGTTATTTGATGTTATGTTGTTTACCTGAGAGCATATCAAGCAGAAAGTATTTCAGTTTTCATTTTAGCCAATTAGTCTGATGTATGTCGATAGAATCGATAGAGATGTTTAGACGCATCAGAGACGCTATACATGACGTCACGTGACACTTTAAATGGATGGAGGCTCGTGTGCACAGACTGTTTTTAATTAAAAATAACTTATAAACTTGTTTATAAACTAGTTAATATTGATATTGAGTTAATTATTCATGTATCATTGCATGTCATCACAGTCATGTGTTATTTTTCCTAAGAAACGCAGACAATTTTGCATAGGCCTGCTGTAGAAAGCCTCATCATTCATTTGCAATTGTTGGTTCTACTGACTATATCTGTCCTATCTCATATTTGTCCCATAAGTATACAAATTTCATAACATACAGTTTATTATATAAACAATTGTTAGCCGTATCCCATTTTGGTCCCATATCGCATCCATAAAAAAGCATTGTTAGCCAAATGTTCCCATTCTCTCTGTGGGAAATTATCTAATAAAGTCAGAGGTTGTAAACAAAAATAATAATAAAAGAAATATTTCACACAAAAACTTGTAATTGTAAAGGTTGACAGATGTTTAGTTTTTGGATGATATATCCCTTTAAAAGTAGTCATGCGGGCTTTCATGATTATCATATATCATCATAACAGTGGCTTTGTCTTCATGGTTTAGAGGTGGTGTGTGGAGCACCGTCCATCTATCTCGATTATGTGAGGTCTAAGCTGGACCAGAGGATAGGTGTGGCCGCCCAGAACTGCTATAAGACACCCAAAGGAGCCTTCACTGGGGAGATCAGGTATACATGCTCATTGGTATCTTTAATAGTTTTTATAAACAACAATTTATCACTGTCAAAACTTAAAAAGCATATTTCTCGCTCTCCTTTTCTTCTCGGCGGTAGTCCTGCGATGATTAAAGACTGCGGCTTCGACTGGGTGATTCTGGGCCATTCTGAGAGGCGCCATGTGTTTGGCGAGAGTGATGAGGTTGAGATTTGAGAAGGAATTTTATTTTAAAATGATCTAGGAGTCAAAACCGTTTTATGTCTTTGCTATTGTGTATGATGAAATTCAGACGTCATATTGTTGCATATTGTTGCTCACTCTGATTGGCTGTGATGTCTTTTACAGCTGATTGGCCAGAAAGTGGCCCATTGCCTAGAGAATGATTTGGGTGTGATCGCCTGCATTGGGGAGAAACTAGAAGAGAGAGAAGCTGGAACCACTGAAGACGTGGTGTTTGAACAGACCAAAGTCATTGCAGGTCATTTATAAAAATAGGAATATTTATTTTGTTCATGATTGTATACACATAGCCTATAAAACGCTAAATGCCATGATGAATTTATACATTTTATAGACAATGTGAAGGACTGGGCTCGTGTGGTTTTAGCATATGAACCAGTGTGGGCGATTGGAACTGGAAAAACGGCCACTCCTGATCAGGTAAATCTGTATTGACATAATCCATAGATCAAAATATCATCATATCATGTTTCAACTCCATGTTTTATAGCTTTCATTTTCTATTTATAAAATGCATATGCACTAAAGCAGGAGTAATAATATGCTTAAAGGGATAGTTCACCCAAAAATGTAAATTTACTCTCATGTTGTTCGAAACAAATTAACTTACCGGTATTTTCAATGAAACCTGAGGTCTATGTCCCTCTATTTAAAGTCTAGTTAACCAAAACTAGATAAACCTATATGAATCAGGCAATTTAATCCAAGTCTTGTGAAAAGATAAGATTGCTTTATGTATGCGTTTATATGAGAATAAAAGCGTAAATTAAAACTGTTTATCATAGAGCACATCACATATGTAAACATGGAAGCTTGTGAGTGTGTCACGAGCAGTAATCGGATGAAGTTAAAGTGCTTCAGTTATGCTTTTTTACCAATTGTGTACATGCATCCAAGGTAAAGCATCACATCTTTTCTCAGAGTGTCTGAAGCAGTTGAATAAAGGAGTCGCTCTCGCTAAACCCCACCTGATTCGTCAGACGGCTCAGTCTGTTGTGATTGGTCCACTGCTTAAAGTGCGTATTGTAAACTAAAATGCCCATATCTGAATTTCAGTTCCAGATCTTTCTCAGCACTTGATAAACAGTGATACGAACAGTAATGATGATGTCAGTTTTACATGAAAGATAATATGCAAACAAGCATAATGGAGCACTTTAAATCATTCAGCTCATGATCATGTATTTGAATCGGTGTATAAGAAGTCTTTAAAGTCTTGTATGTGCTCTCCTTTGTGTGCTGCAGGCTCAGGAGGTGCATGAGAAGCTGAGAGAATGGCTGAGAGAGAACGTGTCGGATGCAGTAGCCGGATCTGTGCGCATCATCTACGGAGGTGAGTCTGCTCATCCCGTCTGTTCAGTTCTGAGTGGCCTTAAAGAAATACTTCACCCAACATTGACTCAGCTCATGCCACATCACTATGATCTTCTTTCTTCTGTGTAACACAAAGGTAGTTTTGCAGAATGTCCTTGCTTGTCCATGCATGATGCAATTTAAAGGGATAGTTCATCCGAAAATGAAAATTCTGTCATTAATTACTCACCCTCGTGTCGTTCCAACCCCGTAAGACCTTCATCCATCCTCGGAACACAAATGAAGATATTTTTGATGAAATCTGAGAGCTTTCTGTCATCGTTATTAAAGGAAAGACATCGTTAAAATATTCCTTGTGACTCCAGTGGTTTAACCT